GAAGAACGATCAGCGCTCACTATCGCAACCCGCAACTACTGGATCTGCACACAAGGTGCATGGAGTAATGTGAGTACCCCAACTCAGTAAGTAATAAAAGTAAATGAAAGTTGAGCAGTAAGAAATCAGATAATTCCACGTCATAGCACTACAGCAAAACAGTATGTTTCCAAGACAGTACAGTAATCAATTATCCCATGAAAACTCAGTTTCAGTAAAACCTTTTCAAAAACATCTTTCAATAGTTTTCAAACAAGTGAAGAAACAGTGAGTAAAAATAATGAAAACATAAACAGCCCCTCGGGCGAGACATGTACCATAAATCGCCCCTCGGGCAAAATATCGACAGAACCAGCCCCTCAGGCTACCTCACAATCACCTGTAGTATGCCCCTCGGTCAAAAACATATCACTCACACTGGGTACCCGCTGTTACTGGGGTGTACAGACTCCGGAGGGGCTCCTAATGTCCAAGCGCTATCACAAGTCATCTCGTAGCATGATAAACCAGACCCTCGGCCTCTAATATCACAAAACAGTACAACTTGCTGTGGCGCGCAGCCCGATCCCATGATATCCTCACAACACAGGCCCTCGGCCTTACTCAGTCAGAATACCTCTCAAGCCACTCGGGCTAACAGTAAAACAGGATGCTCAGTTGAAATATCATTTATGCATCAAATCAGAGTAAATAAGACTAAGTTATGAAATCAGTAAAATGTAGCATGACTGAGTACAGTTATTAAATCAAAACCGTGAGAAATTTTAGTAAAAAAAGCCCCTAAAGGTCCAAACAGTTGGCATGAGGCCCAAATATGGCATTCCACCCAAAACATAGTAATACATTTCTAACATAAGATTTTATCAAGTAGTTTCAATCAAATACGCAACTTAATAGTTGCTACGGGACGGACCAAGTCACAATCCCCAACGGTGCACTCCCCTCACGCTCGTCATCTAGCGTGTGCGTCACCTCAAAGTAGTACAACAATGTGAAATCCGGGGTTTCATACCCTCAGGACAACATTTACAATCATTACTTACCTCAATCCGGACCGAACTCTAACCGGCGATGCCTTTGCCTCTCGACTCGGCCTCCAAATGCTCCAAATCTAACCAAACTCAGTATCATATCACTAATACACGCTAAAGGAACAAGGCCCAAGCGAAAATAATCAATTTAACTCAAAAATCCCGAAATTGGCCAAACCCGACCCCCGGGCCCACGTCTCGGAATTCGATAAAATCACATCACTAGAATCCTTATCCTTCCACGAGTCTATACATATCAAATTCACCAAAATCGGACCTTAAATGACCCCTCAAATCCCCGATTAAAGCTCTCCAAAAATCAAGCCCTAACTTTCAATTTCACCCCAAATTCCCCACTAATTTCATGATTAAGTAGTGGATAATTCATCACAAACACCAAATACAAAGCCCAAGCAACTTACCTCACTGAAATCCTTCAATTCCTCCTTGAATTCCCGGCTTGGAGCTCCAAAATCACACAAAAATGATGAAAAATGACTGAAAATCGCGAAGTGAGGCTTTTATAGTTTCTACCCCAGGGATTCCGCACCTGCGGTCCCATAAGCGCACCTGCGCTTCCGCTTCTGCGGAAAATATCCGCTTCTGTGAATTTCACTTAAGGCACCAGCTTCCGCACTTGCGCCCCAGGTCTCGCACCTGCGGGCTCGCAGGTGTAGTTAATCCTTCCGCTCCTGCGACAATCTCCGCTCCTGCGGTTACTCTCCGCGCCTGCGATCATCGCACCTGCGGTCCCCACTCCGCAGGTGCGGAAACAACAGAAGCAGCAAAAATCTGCAACTCAATTCAACTCTAAACCTTCCATCAACCACCCAAATCCATCCCGAGGCCCTCGAGACCTTAACCAAACATGACAACAAGTCACACATCACCATTCAAACTTGTTCCAATCTTCGGAACACTCAAAACAACATCAAAACATCAAATCACCCTCGGATTCAAGCCTAAGGATTCCAAAACTTCTGAATTCTGCAAACAACGTAAAAACCTATCAAACCTCATTCGAATGACCTGAAATTTTGCACACATGTCACAATGACACAAAGGACCTACTCCAATTTCCGGAATTCCAGTCTGACCCCGATATCAAGATTTCCACTGCCAACCGAAAAATGCCAAAATTTTAATTTCGCCAATTCAAGCCTAAATCTACCACGGACCTCCAAAATACATTCCGAACACGCTCCTAAGTCACAAATCACCTAACGAAGTTATCTGAACCATAAAAAACCCAATTCCGAGATCGTTTACCCACAAGTCAACTTCCGGTTGACTTTACCAACTAAATAACCAACTTAAGAGACTAAGTGTCTCATTCCACCCTAAGACCACTCCGAACACAACACCACCAACACGATATGATGAAATACAGCTGAAACAACACATGAGGAAGCAGATATGGGGGAAACGGAGTGGTAACCCATGAAACGACCGGGCGGGTCGTTACATTTCTGGGCAAAAAAACAATCGATCGATTTTGGTTGATTTTGTGGGTAAAAACTGGGCCGAAAATGCCTGCTTTTAAGCTACACCACCTGCCAATTACAACCAATATCAATCCTATGATGGCAGCATTACATTGCTGCCATTCAATCAAATTTAATCAACAACAACACCAATTAACTAACAACGACAACAATAATTAACTAACAACAACAACAACAATTAACCAACAACACTAATAACAACCACAACAACAACTCCAACTACAACAACAACTATACAAATGTTCAATAACAAAATAATATCAATAATACAATCATCATTAAAAACTAGTCCCAGCTAAATATTGACAAGTTCAATACTTTGTTTCGCAATACACACCATTCAATGAGTGTTTTTTATTGCATCATCCCCATCTTCATTACTAGAACCTTCATCGTCGACATGGTTCGAAGGATCACGGCGAGAAGGATTAGCACATGGGGAAGGATTAGCACATAGTATAGTATAGTATAGCGTAGTGTATATATATATATACTATTTTTCGAATGACTTCGGTCGGTATTCTTTGGACGGATTTTGCCTGGTTTCTAGTAGTGAATTGGAGAAAAATGAGTTCATGAGGAAAATGTTTTCCAAAATATTTAGGCCAACCACACCCAAAGACAATCAGATTTTCCTTGTTTTTCTTCGTACCAAACACACCCAAAAGACAACGAGATTTTCAAAGAAAACGAATGGTGATATTTTTTTAGATATTTTCTTGAACTGGCATTCTGTCGACCTTTTCGGAATATTTGCCCGCCAAACAATTATCAGTAACATGTCTCATTAATTCTTGACAGCAGCTTCTTATATTATCTTCGATAAATATTTTTCAGTAACTTGTTGCATATTTTCTGGTCCACAAAAATTCTTGACAGCAGCTTCTTATATTATCTTCGATAAATATTTTTCAGTAACTTGTTGCATATTTTCTGGTCCATAAATTTCTTCAACTTTCACCCACTTGCGCATCGAGAGTGCAACATATGAGTTCACGTTAATTCAGTAACTTTTGTTTAGAGTCATTATATGTACTAAAAAATTTACTAAATATCTATAAGTTTTAACCGTAAACCTAGTTATTACTGTACAATAATTTAAGATCGCTTTAGGAACTAGGAAACAATATGCATCTGCTTTCAGTCAAAGAATGCAAATTTAAGGGAAAAGAACATAGGGTCATTATGAGAGGACAACGAACCATAATATATTTTTTGTGATACGGTGATCCAATTTGACCAAAACTAAAATAGAACATAAATTTCTAGAGAAGTCTAAGAAAAAATTTAGTAGTCGATTTGTTGGAAAATACTAATCTAATGGCATAGCAAATATCTTCCAAAATTATGATATTACTTTTTTTTTCTTTCTTAAGGCAAACAAATTAGAACGACGTTGATGTCACTCCTTCGCATATATAGAGCATTAATTACAAAAAAATCACACTCTTTTTATTCTATTTTGTTTGACATAATTTTCTTATTAATCCATAAAAAAATGATGTATTTTTATATTTGGAGACTATTTCACTTTAACTTTTATTTTTATCGTTTATGAGAAATTTTTATAGTTCAAATATTGGGCATGTTTAAAACCATATTAGCTATTGGAGAGAAGAAGAGTTTTATGGTCAAAATTTACAGGACGAATGTAGCGTAAGTTTTTACGATTTAATTGGACTTAATATTTTAAATGTAGAGCATATATATATACACGAAAAGAATTAAAACTTTAAATATATTAACTTCTGAACTTATAATTGCAAACGTACAATAAGTTCCTAACAGACTAGAACCAGTAAATTTAAAACTTGAATTCGCCTTCGCCCTTTACCATGTTATTGCTAGATATTTTCAATCCAACATGCATGGTTAATTAGTACTTAAGAAAAGAAAAACTGCAGTAATTTACGTTTGACACTCTTTGTTTCCGTTGTTGAACCTCTATCTTCCCTACCTTTTTACTATTTCATTTAATTATTCGTTTATCTTTTCTCTTTTTCACTTTTCACTTTTTACTTTACCTTATTTTATATTTCTTCTAAAGAAAACACAAATACACAAAGGCGGAGCTACAGTGCCGGCTACGAGTTCGGTCGAACCAGGTAACTTTTGTTTAAACCTTATATTTAACTTTTAAAAATTTATTAATTATGTACAAATACTAATTTAGAACCCGATAACTTAAAGAATTAGAATCCCAAACCCATAAACTCTAAACCCTAACTCTGCCGCTGCTGAAAAACATGCTAGTAAAAGTCACTGCCGCATGTTATAGACCCATGACTTATTATCCATAGTACAGCGGCAGACATTAGCACACAATTTTAAATTTCAATCTTTTTTTTTTCTTTAAAAACGTGTATAACCAATGACCAAAATATTATTTAATTTTGACTATACTCTTCAGGTAGCCAATTTACTACTTCTCCTCTTCTATATATAAAGCTCCTTTATCCTTCCCAAAACATACACCAAGCAGCTTTTGTGAGAATTTTGAAAAATCACAAAAGTTGCATATTTAAAAGAGGAAAAAAAAAAGAAGAAGAAGACGAAAAAAGATGCGTCCAGCTTCGTCAGTTATCAGCTTCTTCCTTCTTATTTTTATCTCCATCTATATTTTGAAGAAAACCCTAAAAAAGTTTCCCAGATCATCGATAACTATAGCACTAAACTACGTAGTTTTTATCGCTAATCAGTTGAAATGGGCTTGGGAAATTCTCCTCCTTCAATCTTTTTCTCATCCTTATAATCTCACTACTATTTCTCAAAATGCTCATGATCAGGATCAGGATCAGGATCATGAGCTTGAAGTCATGCATTATGAACCCGAATCAGAGTCTTCGGGTTCAGTAGAATGTGCAGTTTGTTTGTGCAAGATTGAAGAAGGAGAAGAAGTTAGAGAGTTAAGATGTGATCATCTTTTTCATAGGGTTTGTTTGGATAGGTGGCTTGGTACGGGACGTATGACGTGTCCGTTATGCAGAAACCATCTCAAGCCACCTCCTCTCGTTGCTAATTTGCATCAAGAGGTTATTTTATTCGATTTCGTCTCAGGGACGAGGTCGAGAGATCGTTATCAATGGTGGCTACGATAAATAAAATAAATGTTTGCATGATTATGATAGAAGGAAGATGAACAATATAGTTCTTAGAAGATATATGTATCATTGCCATTTTCATGCTATCTCTTGTAAATTGTATGGCAATGATAAACTTAATTAATGATGATGATGAAAAAAAACAAATCAGTCTATTTGTAGATATGCCATGTATCAAATAATATTCCTTTTGAATCATTTAGTAGTAACTGATTACTGGTAATCTGGTTTATTCACTCTCTAATCGATTTATTTCTTAGCATCATAAATCAGCGATATAATGATAATTTCCTTATTTTTCTTTCTCTTGTTCTTTTCTTGCCTTTTTATTTTTTATTTTTGTATGTGTATGTGTGGTGAGGGGTGGTGTGGTTATTTTGTGAATTGTGATGTATGATCTTTGTTATATTTTCAATTCAAATTTGGTTTCTTCTGAACAAAGTCTGACCACTCAATTCTGTGAATTAAACCCTAAATATTTGTTGGAAACTATTTGATACATACGTTTACCTCCTTTTTATTATCATAATAGCTGTATAGAGTTGTTTGTATTACCCTCTTGACTTAGTTTTCTAGCTCGATGCCCATTACCACCCTACCATGCAAGAGACAAGGGAAAGTCCGGGGTGGATGCAGTATATTCGCAATGGGTTCATCAGAATCTAGTACTTTCGACGCAGAGCATATATTTATATATAAGAAACCACTAAAATTTCAATAAATATTTGACATAAACTCATAATTTTAGAAGTCCAATGAATTTAATGCTATGAATTATAATTCGCTTGAAAGAGTGATTTCACCTTGTTGTCATTTGGAATAAAGAAAAAGTGAAAATATAATTTGCACGTGTTTTTTCTCTAATAATTAATTGTCACATAGTGACTATTATTCCTTCATGATTTGTGTCCTCGTAAGTTAGTGTAAATGAAAAAGAAAATGATTCAAAAAGTCAAGAAGAAATATTAGCTATATATATGGAGTTAGATCCATAAAGGGTTGGAAAGAAGAGATGAACAGAATGATGAATTAAAAATAAATAAATAAAAGAAGAAGAAGAAGAGTAGAGAAGGGGTAATTTCATTTCATAATTTTGATAATACTGTAACAACATAAATTTACAGAATAAGAGAGAGAGTACCGAGTAGGATTTTACAATATATAAAACAAAAATCAAAATTTTAATGCCTATTAATCTGTCGAACTATAATCCAGAAGAATTTGCTAGAAGCTTAAACACAAGTTTCGAAGAGTTCAAGCTAGACATAGAAACCGGATTATACTCTATAACAGATTTAGCCATACATTTTATATACCTAGAACAAAATAAGAGAAGTTGTTTAGACCTATACAGAAAATAACTTTATCTGATATATTTAATACTATCATATCATCTATCATATTACCATTATTTTTGATACATTTATAAATATCTCTTATTTACTCTTATTTATATTATATCGATATCTCTTATTTACTCTTATTTAAATTATATCGCCATTACTATTATATATATATATATATATTATATTATATATATATATATATATATATATATTATATATATATATAAAAGTGATTAATAAAACGTGTTTATCAATTTCTACACAACATCACTAAAAGCCCTGGAAAAATACTAATTATTTATTAGAGAGGAACAAAAAAAAAAAATCCTAAGAAATTTCAAGAATAGTCGAAAATTCTCAGAAATAAAGATATAATTAATTTTACACACTCCCGAGTTTGAATAATTAAAAAGAAATTAACTTAATGTTTACCATCATTTTTCTGGTTCTCTATTCAATTTTTTTTTCTCTGACTTTAATTTTTTCCTTAATTAACAGCTAGACATTCCCCTTAATTAATCTCAGTTAATTGTATTTTCAGCAGACATGTCTTTCAATTGTCTTCTTAACTGAAATTACATGTTCAATCTATGTTCACTGTTCTTTTCTTCTTATTCAACTATATCCCATTTGTTTTTTGTTTTTGTTTTTTTTTTTTGTTTTTTTGTTTTTCATCCGGTGTCCCGTATTAACATTGGAGCTTCAACTAATCCGGATAGGCGCCGTGTAAGGCTCACTAAAGGGGAAAGCACTTCGAGGATTTTTGCTATTCTCATGACTTGATGCACTGACCTTTAGTTAAGGATGAACAGATTCTATCCATCTCATCATAATCTTTGGTGATAACTATGTTCCATCTAACCTTTGAATCAACAATACATACAATTTTGACCTGTTTAATCACTCAATGTGGACTTTGTAATTTCAGTAGAAACAATAATAATTATGTCAAAAACAAGCAAAATATATGATAGTATTTCTTTTCACAGTGAGATATGGAAGTTAGAAGGAAAGCAACAGAATAGTACTAATTAATAAATTTCAAGAGAATTTTCCAAGAAGGAAATTGTAAAAATAAATTTTATTTAAAGAAAGGAAGAACTGAGTCGCATGCGTACTAATTCCATGGCCGTCTTAATTTCTCAGCCACCACTTTAGAAGCAAGTTTGTGATAGTCAAGTGACAATTTCATTATTTTAATAGATTTTTGTCTCTATCCAAAAGGAATTGTTTCAAATTTATCTCATTTCTTTAAGTGAGTCAAAAAGAATTTATTTCTTTTTTCCCCTTTTTAGTTTGATAAAATAAAACAAAGTTTCCACTTAGGAAAAATGATTGAGAATAGTAGTCACTATAGTCAGCTAGGAAGTCATAATGGTTATCTCAAATACAGTTATTTTGTGTCCTACACAACTTATATTAGTTGTGTAAGGCATCTTTTTATCTCACATATTTGTGGACACATATCTTACACATCTGGGTCCACAAAAATTCTGGGACCACACAGTTGTGAGACAACAAAGAGGCCTCACACAACTAGTGTTAGTTGTGTGAGCACAAAATAAAATTTTTCGTTCGGATACTCATAAATCGACGCTTCCGCCCGTATTATACTTGCAATTTCTTGTACGATTTATGAAAATTGTTTCATAAATCTGTTACCCATGATTTACATAGAATCGCTAAATTTAGGGGAAGACATTCGGTACTTCAATACGGTATTTTAGCACTACGGTTCGATACTTTAATATTCGGTATCATGTGCATAGCAAATACCGTACCAAAGTACGTAGTTCGGTACGGTTCGATATTTTCTTGTTTGGTTAGATATGATTTCGGTACGGTTTCGGTATTGTTATGACTAATAACATTAAAAAAAAATTACCTTCAAATGGTGAATAGTTTACATATAAATCTTGATTTCGCAGACTACCGTAGCCAAGCTATTCAATTTTTCCCAAAATCTATTTGATTTTGCTGGATAAGCAAAGCATTGAATTTTTACACTTCAATCTCACCTTTATAATACTGCAGTAGAAAGGTAGAAAACGCCCCAATACAATGATTTCAGGAGCTTTTAAATTGGGCAACTTTCATAAATACATACGTTATAAGAGTAAATTTCATTATATACAACTATAATTGAAATCACGTTTTGTACAACGTTTTCATTTCATAAAATCAAAATATCAATAACTAGTATCCAAAATATGGTAAAACCCCTACAATTAAGGAAACTGACTAATTATCAAATCAGTTCAAACCAAAAAAAAATCTCCATTTAGTTAGATATTAATTAACCAATTGTTAAGAGATGTTATATGTCATTTTTATACAACTCACTTCGTATATCTTCTCTTTACAGCTTTCTGTTGTTGTTTGTTCATAGTCATATTCATCACCTTCATACTTCTTCACCTTTTCCAACTTCTTGCTGATGCTTTTTCCAACTCTCATATCCATCACCATTTTAACAATGGTATATATATATATATATATATATATATATATATATATATATATATATATATATATATATATATATATATACTGTATGTATAATTACTTATATTATATACAATATGTACAAACTTAATTAAAACTTTGCAAAAATCCAATCTACCCTTAATTTATAAGATACTGTATATACATATATAATAATATAGTATCATGTATATGGTATATGATATATTATATATCATATATTGTATGATATATAATAATTGTGGGAGAAGAAAAGTTTGGTGATGAGACATACAATAAAGAAATTTGACAGAATGATTCCTGCTATTACAACTGACTCCAGTAAATTGATATGGTGTAGTTTTTTTAAAGAAATCATATGCCCTGTGTTCGGACATTGTTATGTATTTCAGAGAGGAATCTACATTTTTTCCTTAAGCATACTCAAAATCCACTTCTGTTATGTTCTTGCATAGACAGTTGTGGCAACCAACAATTGATCTAATCTAATATCAGTCTCACATAACGATTTTGGTGGATATACGAATTAAAAGCTATTCTATTATATATAAATGGAGGATATGACAAGTGAGAGAGGAATAAATCGGGGGGAAATTTATATGGATAGCTATGTTTAGGTGAGAGAGAATCTTAAGAGAGAAATATTAGGATACATTTTAGCGACAGAATCTCAAGAGAGATATTAGGAATATAAAGGAAAAAATTTAAAAATAGTCAGATTTACAACTGGTCATTCAAAAATAGCCCAGTTTCAAAGGTAATCGAAATTTAGCCACTTTTCATGTAAAGATAAATTTGAGCGAAAACACTGTTCAAAATCCGAAAAATACGCCCGCATATTATACGGGAGCTCCAGTATAAGTATGCTTGAACTCCCGCATATTATACGGGAGTTCCAGGATAACTATGCTGGAACTCCCGTATAATATGCGGGAGTTAAATATAATTATGCTGGAACTCCCGCATAATATACTGGAGTTCCAGCAAGTATAAATGTCCAGTATAATATACTGGAGTTTGGAGCACCGGTGCTCCAGTCTCCCGTATATTATACAGGAGTCAGCAAAGTATACCGGTCCAGCATAATATGCTGGAGTTCGTACACAAATGCACCAAACTCCCGTATATTATACGGGACCGGTCTGTGTTGCAGCAAAATAGTGGCTATTTTTCATTGACTTGGTAAACGCTGGCTATTTTTGATTGACCAGTGCGAAAACTGGCTATACCGTGCTATTTTGACGAATATAAAAGTTGTAGATTTTAAAATAAGTTATATTTTATGTAATCTTTTAAATATAATTGTAATTTATCTAAATAAGTTTTAAATAAGTTGTATTATGTGTAAGTTCCTCATTCGGAAATTCAAGCAAACTGCGAAAATGGGGAATTAAAACAGCAAAATCTAAGGTCCTTAGTGGGGTTGGACTTGGGCTTAATATTACTGGTTAGGGCCTACGGAACAGGGGTAATAAGCTTAATTTGGGCTGAAAAATGGAATTTGGAGACTTGGGCTGGGAAATGGTGGGAAGGACTACTTAAAATATGTCGGCATTTCATTATTGGAAAATTATCAGTTATGTCCATTTATAAGTAGCTTGTTATAAAAATTGGCCAATTCATAAAATATTTGTAGCAAAAAAGGTCGAATTTTTGCTTTCTTGTGGGTGGGTGTTACTAGAATAGATTGGGTACATCTTAAGGAGCTTGAATCTCAATTTTGGAATGATTTGGAGAAGTTTTGAGGTGGTTTGAATTGAATATTCGAAGTAAAAACTAAACATGAAAAAAAATGATCAGTATTTTATTTGTGTATCATATTTGTATTAATTGTGCATATCCATGCATGCTTGTGAGTGAGCTACATGCGTGATACATGTTTAATACATGTGTCATAGAAGAATTTTTTGAACTTGATTTAAGTACGAATTTTGATGCAAAACCAGTCCTAATCACCTCCAATCTTCCTCAAATTTTGTATATTGACATGAATTTCAACTATGCCCATTGAATAAGTTCCTTTTTTGCTTAGATTTTACAAATATTGTATATTTGTTGTAAAACCTATAGTTAATGTGGATGTCCACTACTCCCACTATTTTCACCCATGATGTGAATAACCTCCCACTACTCATCACTTTTATGATTGTAACTCCCACACCTCCATAACTTTTCCCCATGATCTCAATTGTTAATGACATGTTTAAGACAATTATTTTGTAACCTTCATATGTAATAGTATAAATAGAGGCATGAAATGTGAGATGGAATACACTTGAACACTTGACGAAATAAGAAAGTTATCTCTTCTTCTCTTATTCTACTTATCTTCTTGTTTTATATTGTTACTTTGAGCTACATTTTTTTAACACGTTATCAGCACGAAGTCTCTAACCTCAAGATTGAATTTCACTTGCAAAGGTATATATCTACAACCTAGTGTTCAAATTATCAAATTGTTGCTACGCATTTCTTTTATGTGGAATCTACTTCTTTTGGATTTACTCAATTAGAATTATGCGTTGTCTCGTAAAAAGGAAATATGACAATTATACTGAGTGCATTATGTTTAATGCCAATAGTTGACATGTTTGTCAGAATAGTTAAGATTAGTTGAAATCGTTTTTCCTACTATTTTAATACTCTATCAAATGACTTCCCGATTTCTTTCCTTACGACTAATGGCTTTCGGGAAAAAAATGTTTTTGTTTATTTTGAAGAATTATATGTTTATATTTATTATTGCGGCATAGCTAATTCATGTGTTTTTATGGTGATTAACTAGTCAATTGATGTTATTATTTTTATGAGATATGATCAGATTGACCCTTTGATGAAAATATTTTCGTTTATTTCATTTTACTATTTCTAATTTATTTATTTTCTTTGATAGTTTTTACTATGTCGAATTTGTCAAAGCTTGAGTTTGTGGCACTTGACATTTCTGGAAAGAATTACCTATCATGGGTTCTCGATGTTGAGATTCACTTAGCCGCTAAAGGTCTTGGTAACACCATTACTCAGGGTAATGAGGCATCAAGCCAGGACAAAGCGAAGGCCATGATTTTCCTTCGTCATCACTTGGATGAAGGTTTGAAGGTTGAATATTTAACAGTGAAAGATCCACTTGAATTGTGGACTGGCCTAAAGGAAAGGTATGATCACCTTAAGGCTACGGTATTGCCAAGGGCTCGATATGAGTGGATGCACTTACGGTTGCAAGATTTTAAGACCGTAAGTGAGTATAACTCTGCTGTATTCCGAATAACTTCCCAATTAAAATTATGTGGGGAAGTTATGAATGATGAGGATTTGCTGGAAAAGACTCTTACGACTTTTCATGCCTCAGATATGATATTACAGCAGCAATACCGTGAAAGAGGTTTTAAAAAGTATTTTGAATTGATCTCACGCCTTCTGGTGGCTGAGCAACATAATACCCTTTTGCTGAAAAATCATGAAGCCCGTCCCACAGGGTCAGCTTTGCTTCCTGAAGCGAATATGGCAGCCAGACGTGATAAGTCTGGAAAAAGACAGAATAATAATCATGGCCATATGAATTTACGTGGGCATGGAAATGGTAAGAGACGATATAATAGTCGTCATCGGGGTGGTCATGGAAAACGAGAGAACAAATATGGGTTCTCAAAATAATCCTTCAAGAGGCAAAAGCGGTAACTGCCACCGCTGTGGCATGAAAGGTCATTGGAAAATTAAACGTGCACCTGAGCATTTTGTTAGGATTTATCAAAACTCCATCAAAAGAAAGGCAAATAATGTTGGAGCATCTTCTGCTAATGCCCCAGTGGAGTCTCATTTGACCTTTAAAAAT